TAAGTTTGACCAATTTCATTAAACATAGTAGACTTTTCTTCCAATGAAAAAAATGATACAATTTATTTTACGTATTGACAGACTGGTATCATCATATTATCCAGTCTTTGTGTTATAATATAGAGAACCCGAATCAGGAATGTTTCCATACAATCCCGGCGGTGAATGGTTAGAAAATTACTCGTAAATTTAGTAACGTCCGAGACAGATTGCTTTTCAATGAGACTGTATCAGCGTTTAGTCACCGCTCGTTATCTGTATACCCACTTAAAATATAATCAAGAAATAATCAGAAAATAATATACGACCGCTTTGCCCAAACTTTAATTGTTCTCGCTTGACACATGGCTTTATATGGCGCCCGGCTGTGCTCTCGACTTAGGTATTTGACAGTCTCTTGCGAATGAATTCAGAACGCTGCCCCATTCTGTAGGACACTTTATAAGGACTGAGGCAAAGGGGGGTTTACTTTTAAGATAAATTTGACAGTTTAAGAGTTTGTCGTTGGAAGCGAACAATGCTATCCATATCTTAAATAAACTAAGCAAAGACCCTTAATTATTTTCGAGGCTTTATTTGAAAATGAAATCGTCGGTAAATAGGTATTTACTTAAGAAAGAGTACAGTTATGTGGTTACGAATAAAGTAGACACTTTCAGAGTCTTATGGAAACGTAAGGTTTTGCATATTGATGGCAAAACGATATCTTTTTAGTTTCTATGTTTTTTATGCATAAATCTGAGAATTGTCTTTTGATAGGCCATTAATCTAACACTGCGCTATAAATTGTAAACGCATGCCACTGTAGAAACTGTAAGACACGTGCACTTCTCTGATATCTTTTTGCTAATTAAACTTGAAGTTCAATGTAAATTGATGTCATCATTTTGGTTGTATATAATTTTCACAATCATTTATTGCGATGATGATAACTATTTAACGAAAACGACCATAATGAAGACGAAGATGCTGCTGCTGCTGCTGGTGCTGATGATGATGATGATGATGATGATGATGATGATGATGATGTTGATGATGATGACCTTATTTTTTGTCTTGATACAGATCTATTACAATATTTTACCATACATTGCATGAAAATATATTCCTTGTATTTGTTTGATAATTATTCTACATCTTGATTAATGAAAGGGAGAGAAAGAAATAAATGATTTATTTATTTATTTATTCCCCCCCCCCTTTTTAGCTGTGTTTTGTTTGTTATTATTGTTGTCCTCGGGTTGATTCTTTTGCTAGTTTATTTGTTTTAATAATTATTTGTTTTGTTAGGGTGTTAGGGCTTTTTGTTTGATTTGTTGTTGCTGTTGTAGTTTTTTGTGTTTTTTTGGTGGGGAGGCGGGGGTTGAAATGACGATTTTTGAAATATTTTTTAAATATTTTTTTTCCATTTCTTGTACGTCTTGACCAATAACTTGCGCGTACAATTTTAGATCATTCGCTCGACCGTTTTTTCCCTAAAAACATTTTAATTGTGAAAAATAACCAATAGATAGATAGATAAATAAATAAATAAATAAATAGATAAATAAATAAATAAATAAATAAATAAATAAATAAATAAATAAATAAATAAATAAATAAAACGAAAACACACTAAAAAACTAAAATGACTTCCACTCAAATTTAACAAAGAATCACAATTCTACTACAGTATGAGTATATATTATTTCATATCTGTTGCATATTTCTGCCTTTTTTAAGAGTCCGAGTTGATTTATTTAAACATTTCAGATGTTATGTTTTAAGTCTTTTATACCTAAGTGGAGAATCTTTAAAACAATCAACAATAGTCTATAAAATATACGCTTGCCATACTGTAAACAATTCAATGTATCCCATGGCATGAGCAGTTTGCTTTATATTAAAGCATTTAGCTCAAAACAAGTTTTAATTTCTCAAAAACTTTTTATTCTTATAATTATTACAGTTTCTTAAAGGTTAAATAAAGGTCATATAGATGAACTATCGAGTGCTTCTTTTGCTGTTTTGCAATTGGTATAATTACAGTGATTTTGGTATTTTGTGTAGAAGTCAAAATATAACCTTGTCTACATTTTGATATCTTTGCCACACATAACTGCATATTCAGTGCTAATTTCTTCAGTTATTGAACACCAAACATGCTATAAATGCATTATTGAAGCACTATAAAACACATATTTGATATTCCTAAAGAATAAAAAATATATTGATATCTGAAGCATACTGTGCCTTTAAAGACAGCCTCAAAACTTTACGGACAGCCCTCTTATAACAAATTCAAAGGAAGCCTCAAAACTTTACGAACAGCCCTCCTATAAAAAATACAAAGGCAGCCTCAAAACTTTACGGACAGCCCTCCTATAACAAATACAAAGACAGCCTCAAAACTTTACGAACATCCCTCTTATAACAAATACAAAGGCAGTCTAAAACTGTACGAACATCCCTCTTATAACAAATACAAAGGCAGTCTAAAATTGTACGAACATCCCTCTTATAACAAATACAAAGGCAGTCTAAAACTGTACGAACAACCCTCTTATAACAAATACAATGGCAGTCTAAAACTGTACGAACATCCCTCTTATAACAAATACAATGGCAGTCTAAAACTGTACGAACATCCCTCTTATAACAAATACAAAGGCAGCCTCAAAACTTTACGGACAGCCCTCCTATAACAAATACAAAGGCAGCCTCAAAACTTTACGGACATCCCTCCTATATCAAATACAAAGGCAGCCTCAAAACTTTACGAACATCCCTCTTATAACAAATACAGGCCAATATGATATAATTTAACTCTTAAAATTACTATGACTTGTACACAACTAAAAATAGTGTCTCAATCATATAAATTGTACGAGCATTAACCATTAGCAAACAAACATATCTTTAACGAGTATTTAAGTATGAAAATGGCGAATTAAGTATTATTTTCAATAATTATACTATATGTATAAACATTTTATTCATCTTATCTTTTGAACACAAATAGTTCGATTACCTAATTAAAACTATTTACTATTCGAGAACGAACGTTTAATTTGATATAAAATTTTATGTAGCTCACTGATTCTGTGTAAAGTTGGATGTCTCCAGATGAACCCATATATTTCAAGAAAATCTTACTTGTAAAAAATATACTATGATTTTTAGAAAATTAAAAACGATTCAAGATTTAACCAATAATTGAAATGTTATGTGTGATTAATGTCTGATTTTGCAGTATTTATCACCATATTTCTTTTCTGCGTGACTAACGCAGTAAGGACTATTTTTTGCCGCATATTTTGACCACTTTTTAGCTAATTCAGTATGCGTGAAAGAATATCTACCTAGATGCTATTAAAGTACAACTTTACTTATTGCTAAAAAGCAATCGGACGAAAAATATAGTTTTATGTAATTGACAAATGAGTAATCTTATAGAAAGTTTTAATGTACATGCACACCAAATTATAAAAAAAAAGCTTTTGAGAAAGAAATTAAAAGCATTTCTGAGGCATAATGGGCCTTTAATGAAATATCCAAAGTCTCTGGTGGGATTTGAATCAACATCATTTCAGGAAAATTAATGTTAGGAACTCTAGCCACCCAGCTACAGAAACCCCAATGAATATAAATATAAAATGATCAAGCTGCTATTTAGGGACCATATGGTCCGTTTGAAATGGTTGAACATAGTTCATATATTGCCTTTTAACCATATGATACATGTACGGAATTCATTTCATGATATGACATAGATAGATTACGTCAGACAAAATCTGCCTTTTGTAGCACTATCAATGACCGGTATTAGTGCCAATTTTAGGAAGTCAGTGCCGATGCCGGTTGACGAGGATTCGACAAATGTTAAAGCTGACTTTAAATCTGGACGTTTTACGATACTGTTCGTCATAGAGGAACAGACTTTTATATTTGTGCCGGTCTTCCTGTCTAACTTTGAAACTTCTTGAATTCAAATAGAATATTTGAAATCGATTTGACTGATTTTGAGAAGGGCCTTTTTTTGCTTTCAATATTAATCTTACATGTACATGATGTATAAATGTATAAACTATTAAATAGAGAAGTGTTATTATTATTAATGCATTTAATGAATGAAACAATTATACAAATAACAACTATGGAATTGGGTCCAAATAAGAATTCACTTCAATTGAACGGAAGTCGAAACTTAAATTTACTTTTCAAAAGTCCATTTTATAAACAATAACGATAGTCCACTAATCTTGTTATATCATTCAAGGAAATTTCTGTGTTTTGAGTTTAATGTATTAAAGCATATTGTTCTTTATATCTTTTTCGATATTTTTGCAAAACATCTTGCATAAAGAACATTAAAAAGACTCGATTTACTCATTGTAACTTATTTCTGTGAGTGAAAAAAATCATTTTACTATTTATTTATGTCCATTTTTTATTGATATCTTGTGATGTATCTGTCTTAAGTCTAACGGCCAGTTTTAATTTAGAATTTTTATTAACATTACAAATAAGGTTATTTCAAAGACAATCGTAAACATATACACATATGATATAAAAAAAACTATTGCATACTCATTATGACTTTGAACTTTGTCCCGCTCTTAAATGGACTTGCATTTCTTTCAATCAGGATAAAATCATTATCATAAGGGAACATTTCAAAATAAATATATAACAGTGTCTCCCATGACCAGACTGCAGAGATGTACCACTAAGTTTGGTCTGCACTGGTCGCATATGTAAACTCTTTCGCCGGAATGAGGCTAAGAATAAATATTTTATTATTCGAATTAATCATATATGAATTTGTGATGATATTATAAAGGTCTCAAATAAATTTTGGGCACTGTACATTTTTCTTACTTTCAATTACTTTACTTTTATGCATACAAACTACTAATGGGAATGAGCCATCTATCGGCGTAATAAAAGATTATATTACGTACGATAAAGTGCATGTATATAAAAATCGCACAAAACATGAAGTATAAAACAAACACAAATTAAAACATACTTTTAATATTTGGTTTTTATTTGTACAAAAATAGTTACATATTTATTGCTTTAATCGTTGTAAAGTTTGTTAAACATAATTATAGCACATAAATTAAATATTAAAATAGTTTACTTACAGTATGAATAAAGTACAAAGTGCACGTGCAAAATATGCATATTTTTTACACTGAATGCCTTTTGATTCATACCGTACATGTATTTAAATAAGTTTAAACGATATAAATAACATGAAGTTTATTTCATGAATAAATGAATGAAACCATAAACTGCAACAGTTACTATAATAGATGAGACACGTAATTCAAGAATTCATGTTTTTGTTGTTATTGGTGGTGTTGTTTATTTTATTATTATTTGGTTTAAAGAAAAATAAAATATTAAAAATATTGCATGTAATACATTTATGTGTATATAAAAAGAAATCATATATGAAATTTTCTTCAAAAAGAAATGTTCTCAAAAAATCACATGACAATATAGGCGGTGACATTTCCTGCAACTGTGCCATTGTTTATTTCTCTAATTATTCCTCTTTAAAAAGAAATGTTACACCTTTCCACATAAAGTTTATACGGCCTCCTCCTTTTAAAATTTCATTTTTACACCATTTTTTATTTCACAAAGCTCAATGCACTGTTTAACGTTTAGTGTAGTAATAATTCTATTCTTGTCCGACGTCAATGACGTCATCTCCGTCCATTATATCACAATCATTTTCATCGGAAGACAGATCATTTTCCATGTCATCATCCTCATTATGTCTCGACGCTTCTGATTGGTCCTCGCCGTTTCTGTCCTCTGGTGTTGGAGATTCCTTTTAAAAAGAAATAAAAATATTTAAATTCGGATGCAAAAGGAAGTTAAAGACACATACTGCCTCAGAAATGAATAAACTGTCCCTTCATTAGAAATGACAAACATGGGTATTATGCCATTTAAGTAATAGTTTTAAAACATGTTAGATACATTTTAGCAAAATAATGTGAAGATGAATGTGTAATAATTATTTGTCTTAATGATAACAAAATGTAAACACAGTAAAATGTAGTATTTTGACTTCCATACAAAACACAAAATCAGGATAATTGTACTAAGTTTCGGAAAGTAAAAGAAGCAAAAGATGGTCAATGATCAATGAGTATCTTTTTAAAGATGGTTGACACACAAAAAATAAGCTTTTGAGAAATAAAAATAAAAGCATGTCTGTGGCATAATGGGCCTTTAAACTATGGAAATTTCGCTTGTTTGTGAAGGTTATTAATTTAAGAAACATTGATGATAGAAAATCCTGTCATAATAAAAACATTCATTTTTTTTCTTTCAAAATGTATTTAATTAGTAATTATTTGCCTGGTCTAAAGAAAGTAAAATAGTTTTGTCAGTGCTTGTAAGTGCTGGGGCGGGGTGAGATAAGATCCATAGAGGGAGATGGGGCAGGTTGTAATCAAGGGCATGTTCTAAAGAAAAATACACATCTCAAGCAATAGTAAATGTTCATATTTCATAAGTATCAGTTTCATTACCTGTTTCAAACGCCTCCATTTTGCTCGCCGATTTTGAAACCAAGTTTTAACTTGCCGTTCTGTCAGCTGTAAAGTTTTCGCAAGTCTTTTACGTTCTGGTGGCGACAGATATTTTTGGGACTCGAACTTCTTTTCAAGATCTATTGTTTGGTCGTTTGAAAATCGAACTTGTCCACCTTTTCTCTTTTGCATTGGTCGTTGTAAGAATGGATGCCAGAAGAATGGACGGTTATGGTACACTGGAAAGAGATGTGAAAAGGAAATTAAATATAGGCATACAATTAGAATAAAATTTCCTGATCTTCTTCATGACCAAGCACTTAAAAGATACTTCTTTAAACACATGAAATCTATAGGAAAAGATTGAAACAATTACTTCTTTTAATCACGATTTTTAAACTTCTTTGTGATATGGTGACTTGATGATTCGGTTATGTACGAAAGTTCACACAGTGTTCATATTAATTTCTTGTTAAGGAAGATTTTCAAGCCAGTAAGAACCAAAGCAATTATAACATGAAAACAGCCAAGGACGCACCATCCTACATGTCCACTTAAAGTGCCGAGAAAGACAAAAGCACAATGAAAGAGCAATAGGAAATGTCAAGTATTCTCTATTGTTTTTCACATAAACAAAGCCATTGTGTCCCATCGATTCAATTAGAGTCAGATTGGTTATACAAAAGCTTTTCGTCAACAATATTAAGTTTCATAAGGAGTTTTCATCTCAACTTTTTTGCTTAATTTTCCGGCTTGCTATTCCATTCAAAGTGACACTTGGAGTAACTCGGCCATATGCAAGTATTGGAGGAATTAATTAAACAATAGGGCGATGTAATTAAGATTTTATACATAGTTTTGTTTAGGAACAGAGTCTCTTGACTCTATTCGCCCCATCCTGTATGTTAGACAATTATTTCGGCTATTGAACATAACATTGCTTTCCGTTATTGAAAGCGTCAATACTATTAAGTGTGCACAAGTGCGCACGCGCAAATGACTGAGGTCAAACGCCTCACGCGAGGAACTTCGAGACTAGGTATCGCGCGGAAATGTGTCATGGCGTCGAAAACGGAAATGTGCGGTAAAACTAGTTGACCTTTCGTCATAATTGTCAAATAAAGCCTCTAGAACCATATCAAAATGAGAACCATATCAAAATGGTAAAATCATTTAATTCTGTATCGCTTATGTCAATTAAAGAAATACAATTCTAACTACCTGTCATTTAAATGATCTAATGGACTCCCGCTTTCTTGTGTTGCCTTTTAGCTACTTTTATAAAACCTTAGTCTACCATTTAAATTTCGAACTTTAAAAGCAGTCATTACGTTAACATCTAAAAAAGCAAATGCGTTTGAACGCATAAATTTTATCAGCAATAAACACATTTTCATCTGCTTATTTACACAGCTAATATTTCGAAAGTTCCAATTACGTTTATACATTAAGTGGTATTTATGTTTTATTCCCAAAATAACGACTTTAAAATGCGACTTTTTCCGCAACAAAACAATTCAAACAAATAACAGTAAATCATTCAATGCTTGTTAAAACTATACAAAATAAACGGTGCTATCAAATAATTTTATTTACACATCCGATAATAGTGCTAATATTACGTAACGTCAAGGAGTTGTATATTTGATTTATCAGCTTTGGATGTTCCCCTAACCGCTCGAGCTATACATTTTATTGCTATCGTACACCAGTGTTTGAATTGCGTAACCATTAGGCGATCTGTGCACTGCTCGTGTTTGTATAAAGAAAGCATTTGAATGAGGTTTTACTTTAATGACTTCACTTGTCTGTTAATCCAAAATTGCGACTCCCTGCCGCCGACAGTACGCTTTGAAGGAAGTCTATGGCTATTAAATTAAATACTTAATCTCTTTGTTTCTGTCCCGTTAGATGATATTTGACTTGAGTAAATTGTAGGGCTAATTTAGGTATTAATTTCGGCCTTTTTCACAAAATCTAGAAGCTATGAATTGCTGTAAGTAGTCTCGCGTTGCTAAAGTGGTTAGTTATTCCTCGGGAAGGTAAGTTTACGTTCTGTTTGCCAAAACGATTTCGATAACGTTTATGTTGAATGTACTCTGCTGAGAAACCTCATTTTTACAAACTATTTCCACGAGCCTTTACATCGTTCAAACTGTGAAATTTCCTCATATTATATTTAAATGCATTATTAATACATCCGTGTCAACTTAAAATGTTTAAAACATACTTAACATATGATTGTGTCAAGCTAAAATTTCCTTGTATTTTGACCGACCAAATGAACCTACGAATGATGCGAAAATAACGATTCATTTGTATGATATATTAAAGTGATCGCATCATTATGAATCATAAAAGTGTTATATTATTGTGATCCCCATCATTACCATGCTATATTATTGTGACCCGCGTCATAATGATTTATTTCCATTTTATATTAAAGTGATCCGCATCATAATGATTCATAAAAGTTTTATATTATATATATAACCATGTTAAATTACTGTAATCCAAATCATTATGATTCATAACTAAGTAATATTATTGTCATCCGCATCATTATGATTCATAACCAAATAATATTATTGTAATCCGCATCATTATGATTCATAACTATATTATATTGTTGTGATGCACATCATTATGATTCATAACCATTTTACATAAATATCATCCCATCACAACGTTATATTGTTGTAATCCGCCTATTTATGATATTATGTTATGTTATATTATTGCGATCCGTTGTATACTTCTTTTTCTTGAATTATTGTTTTAGAAACTTTTTTAGTTTACTGTTTACAATATATGCAGCTAGCTTTATTAACGCTTCCCAAATATCTAAAATGAACTTTCGGATTCATCTGTTTTATGAAAAATTTCAAAACAAGTAAGGAGTGAATAGCGAGCAGCATATACCATATTTCAATAATACAAAGAAGTTATAAGACAATTTTATAAACATTTTGTTTTGTATCGATACAAGGTATTCAAATTAAGGGAATTCTCAATTGTAATAATATAAATGACTTGACTTGACTTGTGTTTTTTTTTCGTTGTTATATTCTCACAGAATATATGATAACGAAATAATATATCATTCATAATATGTATTTCTTCTCATGTTATGTCAAGTATAGTTTACATGTTTAGATATTATTTTATTGTTTAACGGCAATGAGATTGTAATGTTTAAGTCAAATTATGTTCTGTTGTGTTCATGATCAGACTGCCCTAATCTTTGGTTAGCTTCATGAGTAGAATCACTTGCCTCTAATAGGCTAAGGTTTAATTGACAGAAATTATTGCCTATTAATCGTATATTCATAAAAATGTCTTTCTAATGTCTGTTTAAATGCACACTATGTTTTAGAAACAAATAAATTTGATAAAAGGCACGTTGTGTCTCAGAAACGAATAAATTTTACTTCTAAGAAAGGGCAACCATGAGTTTCAAAACGTTTTAGATTATGTTAGTTGCTTATTACCTGGAGAAAGTAGCGCTAAATGTAAAATTGTTTGTCATAAAAGTATCAGAGTGTAAACAAAATTGTTTTTTGACTTCCATGCAAAAAAACTGTATCACTATAAATACGTATACTAACTGCCAAGAAACAAGAGAAGACAAAAGATGGAAAAGGAAATTGGCCAATGAGTTACTTTTTGGTCAACATAATCTTAGATCAAATTAATAATATTTTGAAAATAAGGATTAAAACATTTTGGGACATAATGGGCCTTTAACATTATTAGACAAATCATTGCTTTATCTTAATAACCTTTTATGCTTATTCTTACTTTTTTTATTATCATACTGATAATGATCTAAAAATAATTGACGTGCATGTATCATATGACGACACACCCGTGTATAAAAGTTTTAAAGACAATTAAAGCGAACATTTTGTGATGGAATAAATTTTATTGAACAAAATATTTCATTATTTCTTTAGGAAATCACTTTTATAATAACATTATAATTATTTTCAAATTATGATTCACAGTATATCTCTGAAAAAAGAAATATTTTAAGATGTGTGTTATTTTTTAACAGTTCTTCATGTTTTTACTCCCATATAACTCCAGTAGATGGATTTAATTATATTATCAATAAAGTTATTTTCTTTATTTCGAACAACACAAAATGTTTCTAAAAATGATAATTCTACAAATGATTTTGCTCGTTCGCTTTAATGTCTATTCTAATCTTAAGAGTAATTTATTAAATGAGATGTGATATCGACGTAACATAACGTAAGATATTTAGAGATAATTAATTATCTTATCTTAATAAGGTTATCTTAATTATATCATCAAAAGATTAAATGACTGGATTAAGATGGTAAAACTCAATAGAGCAAGAAGTACTTAACCCATTTAGATAGAAATTGCGTCACTTCCGTGCAACGTGTGGTACGTTTGTGCGTAGCGTAAATGACGTTATTGACGTAATTGATATTCTATAAAATACGTTAATGTATTATTTTTTCTAGCCGCTTTAAAGAATGGTACAGTCAGTGGTTTGCCAAAATATACAGCTGAATAAGAAAGAATCCGCTGAAATGCATATTATTTAAGCTGATATATAAAAAGATTTTGTTTAAATTATTAACATACTGAAAATGATTATTAAATTAAGTTTAAAGTTAAACTAAAATTAAATGCTATAAAATACATGGTATATTTTAATATATTTGAATAGTAGGTACTGTTATGCAAATCAAAAATCATAAAAAATCAATCACGTATTTATAAATCATAAAGATTTTGATTTAAATCGTAATGTAATTTTTTTAAATCATAATATATTTTTTATATTTAGTTTTAGATATTTACAATGTGGATCACATTAAAATTGAATAAACAAAAACGTTGTATCTTTAAACATACATGTATCTATATCCATAAGGGAATTTCGAAACAATTCTTAAGTTCTCTGTAATTCTTTTGATCTCTTTAATTTGAAAAAAAAATCAAAAATGCCAATAAAACAGAAAACAAGTTATTATAACATTAAAAAATAAAATTGCTAAAAAAGACTAAAAGCAATATTCTAACACGACCCGCATTTTTCCCTATTGAACATAGAAGAACCGAAAGTGTGTATTATTATGCAATAGAGTCACTGTTTGACGTTCTATATTTAGACGTGTGACGTAATCATTGTACATGTGACGTAACCACTATGAAATCCGACGCGCTGACAATAAGTACGGAAACAAATCAGGCGCAATTTTGCTTAATAGCAGGAACGGCAGCATTTATTTGTTAATTTCGTGTTAGAATCGAAATAATATATCCAAATCGGTGATTTTATCGCTGGATAACATCACTGTTTGTCGTTCGGATGCGCAACATTATATCACTCGGGCTACGCCCTCTTGATATAATTCCTCGCATCCGAACTCCAAACAGTGATGTTATTGAGCTATAAAATCACAGTTTGGGATATATTATTTCTTAAATAACATATTGTATTTAAAACTGAATGTTTTATAGTTTATTTTGAAGTTATCTCAGATGTACTGGTCAGTTTTTAAATTGAAAAATTGTTGTACAAAACGCGGAAAATCTCAGCCTTGTTGAATGCCTCAATAACGCCACCACATACGCTATCTTTAAATGACCAGTTCAATTTATTCGCACGAAAATTTTGCGGACTCTCTTATCGTGTAATTGCTGTTAAAGGACGCGTATTTAAGATAAAATTGAGTATCAATTAAGTGCTTAACTTGGGTATGTTGGACTCAGAAGCTTTTAAGGGAGATATGATATTTATCAGGATATTTGCAGACCATTTATCCCCCACAATACTTTGATTTATTTATGATATAGTACTCTGAGGTTATCGGTTCCATTTTATTATCATATTAAAAGATTTGAGTAGTGAAATCCCTCTCAATGACTATGGCGGTGATTTCAAAGGAATACATTTACAAACAAATACTTTTATAATTCTGAATATACATTTTCGGCAGAATTAATCATTTTGAAATATTAAGATAACGTATTTAAAGTAATCGCTATATTTATAAACAAAGTATTTACAATACATCAATATCTATATGTATATTTTGCTTTATTTTCCCATTAGCAATTAACAAACCACTAAAAAATACTGGTGAAACCAAAAGTATAGCTTGAAATTAATATTTACTGCATTATTTACGGAAAACATGATAAACACCAAATGAGTAAAACTAAAACAATATAAAGAACTTAAGAACAAAGAAATAAATGTAGAACAAAGAAACAAAGAGAATATTGGTTGCGGGAAACAAGAAAAATACTGTAAAGGGAAAAAATGACCAAACTTGACAAACATCGGAAAGAAATGAATGTTAAATGAATAATTTAAATAAGAAATATGAAAAAATGAAATCATCTGATAAAGATACTGTAAATTATTTTATTCAGAACAGTCTTAATGTATTTCCCTCCTGTGTAGTATTGTTTGTTAACGAACGGGATTAAAACCATATTTCATTAAGTAATCTATACAAATATATCAATAAAAGCAATCGATAGTTTGTTATTGTTAACTGTTTTTATTTTTGAAACATAATGTTTTTTTAAGATATCATTATATATCAATGGAATTGAAGCATTTTATTTAATGATGAATGTTCACTAATTATTTTATATCTAATATCATTTTAGTGATATTTTTGTTTTGCATTTTTAAGCTGTTGTTTTCCTTTTCATAATTTGTCTTAGTTTTAATTTTAGATACATTTTCTTTCAAATAGAACAATAGTTAGGCGGGGTTTTTTTTTTTTTTTAAAAAAAAAAATGCCTTATAACAGCATTTGAACAAATGTAAATTTTGTGGAAAAAAATAACTGGGATTGATATTTTTAAAGGTATTATTTCATTTTCATATCCTACTATGCTTAATTGTTTTACATCTAATCAATTAAAGATTGACACAAGAAATATATTAATAATTTCCTAAAAATTTAGTATCCTCCTATTATAGGAAGTTATAAATATATTGATTGGTACATAAGTCCCGGTGCAAAATATGGTGTTTCTATAAACCTTTTAGAAATTTGTAATGTGAAATTTCAGTTCTTATTCTTGTTTGTATAATGATATTTATAACAAAAAAAACAATAAAATATGTTTATTTTGTAGCAAACAGTTTATCAAAATAAGTTTTGTAAAATAAAGTTTCAAGAAATATGGAGTAACCTTACAACTTTATGAACAAACTTTGTTTTACATTGTTTGAAAAATATGATCATTTGGATATATCATTATAAATTATAATGATTCCACAATCAAGCTGGAAATATTTTTCAAATGTGAAAAGTTCTTAAGAATAATAAAAAAGAAAAAAAACTAAACTTAAAATCAATGCATGCGTTTTCTGTCTAAACATAAAATCTAAAATATGTGAAAGTATAAATGCATTTTTGAACACCTCAATGTTAAATGATGCATGTTTTTGTCTTGATAACTTATTTATTATCACAATGAAAGATATCGAACATGCATTCTTTATTCTTAAAAAATGAACTAAGAACACACAAATTATTAAAGGTTTGCCTATAAAGAAATGAATAAACTTGACGAGTAAGTCTCATGTGAAATTAATCATATGATACTAAAAATACTTGACTATCTACTTCCTATTTTATACGTATTTAAATGATCGGAAACAATAGATGAAAGATAGCCAAATTGACTTTTAAATAAGTTAACATTTCTGAAAATTGTGAGAAAGATCTTAATATGTATTGCACTTTTAAAGTAGTTGTGTAGTATATTTCATAATTAGCCGCCCACGTTTTTTTCCCTTTAATTTTGAACTTTAAGGATACTGAAAAATATTATTCGACATAAAAGCTTCCTTATGACAAAACTTTTCAACACATCGTCTATCTTTACACAATCTGATATCTATAAGACTGATTAAATATCGTTAGCTCATAAAACATTTGTCTTTTGTACAAGGAAATTTGTTTTCAAGTAACTGAGATACATATGTAATAACACTTAATTAAATTGATAATTCAATGCACATGAATTCTGGTAATAAATATCAAATGATTACACTACAAAAGTATTTTTTCAACGCCTGGTTTAAAAATTGACATTGGCATACTGTAAGGTACAAAAACAAATAACCACATCTGAAAACATAAGAGAAAAAGAAAAGTGTTCACAAAATTCTGCTGTTTTACAATTGCCTCTTTGGGTAAATCAAAATCACCATTTTTCCAAAACAACATGCTAAAACGGATTCTGAAATAAATAAAAATAAACCTTTAAGTTCTTACCTTTTGAAAACGGACTACATTGGCCGTCAAATATGGCAGGATACTCATGTCGGTTATAGCCCGGAAGTGCACCAAGTGTCCCTATACCTCCACACATTTGCCGCATTAACGACGACTGGTATGTGGACAAATGAGGGTTCATGTATGCCTGTTGTAAAATAGGTTCGTACAAAGTTGGCAAAGGTTTGTACAACGTCGGCGTTGTTAAAGCACTTGTGTGTATTGCAGCAGGGTTTATTGGCGTTGGACGCGGGATATCCGACGGTAAAATAGAGGTTGCAGTAATTGGGGGAGATGACAACGATTTTGTCGCTGTGGCATGTAATAAATGTGTATTTCGACTGTTCCTTATTTCTCTGTCTTGTTCAACAAGTCTTTCTCTTTCACTTTCACGTATTCTATTTCTTTCGTTTATAGATTCACGTTCTTTTTCACGGTCGCGTAGTTCAACGTCTCTAACACTACTTTCCTTGAGAACATTCATTTTACGGCTTTCAATAACGTGTCTTTCCGTTTCTTTGTCCATTTCACGTTCTCTTATACTTTCAGAGTCTCTTTCAGTCTCGCGATATCTGTTTTGGCGTTCTGGCTCAACATCGGACTCGTGGTAACGTATTCTTTCTCCTAAATCACGGCTTCGTTCTTGTTCTCGGCTTTGTTCTCGATGACTTTGTTCTCGATGACTTTGTTCCATTCGGCCCCTCTCAGCGTCTCGTTCCCGCTCTTTCTTTCCCAGAATGTCATCAATGAGAAATGAGGAATGGGGAGCACCGGATGGAAGCTGCTCGGCATGGTGCCCTGGTATGTTCTCGCTAATGTACAAAGATGAGTTACCCGGATAAAAGTTTGTACCGTTTTCACCACGGTAAACAGACGAATAACTTGGCATCAAATGAATCATAGTTCCACGGTATTCCATGTAAAACTTAATACAATAGCATCCCCGTTGCTAAAAAAGCGTCCAATTTTACAATGACTTGTGAATCTGGTCCTATTTGAATGTATTTTATCCCTTCACTATCAAACTCATCGGCTGTTACAACAAAATGAAAGTCCACTTTCACTTAAATGACATGAAATTACAATCTCATATGTTCTGCGCTATTGCTATTCACATATGTGTATGTATATATTTATATCAACTTTTTTTACTTATCCTAGCACATTTCAATTTCAATATAAGATTTGGAAATTTGACCAAACACTTTATTTAGCACGATTGTTCAAATATTTGATTAAATTAGAGGCGACAATCTATTTAACCAATCGCGTCTGGGTATCCACTACAGATTTATTTGTATATCTACTTATCTGAAACTGCTTAAAGGAACACAATCTTAGTGGATGAAACACTTAAATAGGCTGATATATGTGGGAGGAGCCATAACACAAAGATGTTACATTCATTTACGGAAAATCAAATTGTTGTTTCTTCAAAAATAGTGTGTGTCCGTGTGCGTGTGTGTGGTATACTAAAGTTAATACAAATTGTCTTATTTCTACAATAAAAGCGTATTATGTTGACATGTTTAAATTTAAACATTTGATGCTTCAAGCATAATTAAATATGGTGAATAATTTAATTCTATGAATTTTTAAATATTTACAAATTGAGTTTCGTTGTATTACATTGTATTTGCATGATTTATTACAAATACATTTCAATCAATTCGAGAAGGATATCTGCGCTATTACTTGCTATAAGTTAAAATGTTTTTCTTTTGTGTTATTTTCTTGTTTCATGATTTTCGTTCAATATCAATTTCTTTAATATAATTATGCTAGTGTAATAAATTTCTTTATTAAATGACAATTGTGTGCTATGAAAAGATCAAAACATAAACAGATAGCGGTTATAAAAGATGCATGTTATAAAAAGATAGATGCAACAAACAAAAATAGATGCTTTAAAGGAAAGTCTATTCAGTAAATTTTAAATTCAGTAATGCATGAATAAATACTTTTGAATTAAAGTTATTCATCATTTATTTGTATTTCATTTGATTTCTTTCAATTTGAATACTTCAGTTTTCAGAAAAAATAGCCATGTGAGTTTTGCCAGATAAGCATAACAAATTAAACAGCGGGAGCCAGTATTAATTTATGCTCGAATTTGTGGTAGTAATTTATGCTCGAATTTGTGGTAGCAATTTATGCTCGAATTTGTGGTAGTAATTTATGCTCGAATTAAAAGTAGCAATTTATGCTCGAATTTGTGGTTGTAATTTATGCTCGAATTTGTGGTAGCAATTTATGCTCGAATTTGTGGTAGTAATTTATGCTCGAATTTGTTTTAATTATTTATGCTCGAAATAACTGTCTTCAATTTAGTAATAATTCATGCTCGAGAAAAAGTAACAATTTAAGATTGAATTTTTTTTTTAACAAGTTTTGTTTCAATCTATAGTAAAAAATTATAATTGAATTCATATTAACAATTTAAGCTCGAATGTATGATAATAATTAATGCTCGAAATGAATAATTGAATAAATAATAATAATAATTTATGCTTAAATTATAGTAACAATTTATGATCGGATTTATGGTAACAATTCTTTCAATAGCTTTTAAAACCATACTTAATATAGGAAAAGTTTCTTTACAGAACTGGTAAAAATGAACATTATATAAAATATATAAATAATATATATATAATGACAGCAGTATATCAAACTAACTAAGATGTTAGCCTGTGACTATTTTAAAATGAGATCGGCGAAATTCTGTATACTGTTATACTAAACAAGCATGTCGACGAGTCGCTTTGGTGAAAAAATTGTTTTGGTGATAACAAGTTGTTATATATACCTCGTCTTGATTATAGAAACATTGTCGTTTCCTCTGAATGTTTTTATTTTTTGTTAGTGCTAGATTTTACGTCACACGGAAACTGTAAAAGTCATATGACGATATCCAGCTTTACTGATAAAAGAATACTTCGGGCGCCCCTCAGAGCATTATTTCTGGCACGTACTGGCAGCTGAGTAAAAAAAAAAACGCCGTTCCGTAAGCTAGCAGGATAGCTTTCTCACATGAAAGAATCCAAATTACCTGGCCGTACTCAAACCCACAAAGAGGAGCAAGTGGTTTGAAGTCAACAACCATAACCACTCGGCCACGGACGCCTCTTTAAATAAGTCACCACTGTATTAATATTCCGCAAAACTGAAAAAATGATTTTGTAGCTATACTGAATATCTGATATTGGCGTCTTAGACCTACTTTACAAATTGGCTTTCAAAAATGTATTATCATTTTAAATTAAAAATATTAAAGGAAACCTGAAAATACAAATACTACATCATCTTTGTAAAATAAAGAACTAGTGAACGCCGACATTTTTTTCTTAGTATTACTTATTTTTGACTTAAACTTTGAGCACTTAGATCATTACGTTTATGAGAAGGAATTTAACTGCTCACCTCAATTATGTTTCAAGTTATAAACACTGCTTCCAGATAAGAAGATACTTTTCAGAAATAAAAACATTATGATGAAAAAAAGTAATAAAAACGGTAATAAATTGTATAAGTAATACATAGTGACAATTCGCATGGTTCATGCAAAATATGATTGCAAACGGAGACATAGCTTTTTATACAATATACGTACTAACTTTGGATAGTAAAATCTTAGGTAGACCTAAATCATTTTATTTCTACACTAATGTTTTGACAAAATGTTAACTAATAAAAAAACACTTGTTTTTATTTCGTTAAAATAAAAAAATCAAAGTGCATCTTGAGGCTTATAGATATAGCAGAGTACATCTATGATTAGTATTTGTTTTGTACGAATAACGCTTGAACACCATTATAAAAATTTCTTCTCTATGTTCCATCTGAAGCCAATTTTCACAGAAAATCTATTCTATTTCTAAAATTAAGTTCATCAGATACTGGTTTCAAGTTTGGCTTCAGCTTCAATGCGCAATGAATTTAAAAATGATATTGATAATTAAATTTAATTTTCTGTGAGAAAGTACTGAGCGCTTGAAATTCTGGTACTTGAAAGTCAAGGACTTAAGAAAACTTCGGTAAAATCAGTTCAAGTGCTTTAGATTTATAGATCATGGTATTTTAAAGTTATTTTTCCGTATAACATTGTTATATGGTGCTTGTTAATTTGTCATACATGTGCTTTTTTTCGCGGAATATACTTCTATGGAAGTTTTATAAGAAAAGTATTCTACTACAACTTTCAGTATAATTTGTTATGGTAAACCTCCGTGCCAAAGGACATTTAATCATAGTATGATTTATAGAAAACGCAACAAACCGATCTTAAGTATGGTAATTATATTATATTGTTTATAATAAGAGTGTGGAATACCAGTTTAACTTTCAGAATCAACAATGTATTGTTAGGTAGACCGCTGTAATAAAATTAATTACCTTTAGCACCAAAATGATAGTTTCAAGAATTATATTAGTTCAATAACATAAATGGAAATTATAATTTATATTATTTGTGTTAGTGGGTGAAAAGAAAGCGTTTATTTGTGGTAAGAGGGTGAAATATCAGTATAACTTTCAGAAATAACAATGGTCTGTTAAGTAGACCGACGCAATAAAATCTTTTTAATAGGAAAAATGATAGTTTCAAGATCTATATTACTAGAATAATGGCATAAATGGAAAATAAAATCTATTGTTTGTGTGAGGCGGCAAAAATAAATAATTACATTTACAGAGTAATATTCCTTAATTTAAGTATTGTTACGTGCTTATTTGCAAATACCGAAAGAAGTCCAAACTCCTCGAAGCGGTTACTTCCCTTTATAAGTACACTAACGGCGAAAAATTAAGGGGAAATCACTGTGTAAAGATTGTCAAATGACTGGCGCATTAATTTTCAAGCCATTCTCGGGGAAGAAAAAATAGTTCCCAATTAGTCGAAGATTTCTAATATTGTGTTATTCTTTACAGATAAACAAGCTTATATTAAGCTCCATGATTATTTACATCAGTGTTAAACAACAGAACAACCATGAAATTAATAAGGGTTACAAACCCTAATTTAGAATAATGTGGTTTTTTCAGGCTGTTTTCTTAAAAACTTCACCGAGGTCGAGGGGTTCCACGCTCGGTTAGGAAGCGACAGGTCTGGAGTTCAAATCCAAGATAAGGCAACTTTTTTTTAATTGTTAAAGCCAAATAAACATTGATTTGAATATCAGTGTTACAATAAGCCTTATAGCCAATTAACTACAGTTATAACACTGGAAACAGCATTGGTGACACTATACAAAAACAAATTGGTTTATAATCTCACAACCTTCACCTTTCTGACATTCTGAGACCTAAACAAATTCAGGGCCTTCTGTGCTTTGATTATATGTTTGGAGATGTATGCATGGAAAATTATCATTACCTGTAAATATTTAAGATTTTAAGAATCTAATTTTGATGATTTACATTGTAAGTTTATGACTTAGTTTTAAGAAGTTTCCTTCCATTGTGTGTTGTTATTATCGTATCGGGTTGTTGTTTTGTTTGTTTGCGTCGTGGCAGTGGTTGTTATCGCCGTCGCCGCCGCTGCTGCTTCTGCTGTTGCTGTTGCTGTTGTTCTTTGATTCCATTAAGAAATTTGGATTTGTACAATGCGACAAGATTGTATATTAATAAAAAGAAATTGAATGCATTTCGACTTTGTTTTTCTAGTCCTTCACATTCGTTGTTTAGAAATTTATTCAAAATCGTTCAAATCTAAACCATCTTTATTTTTATTCTTCGATTTGTATTAAGTTTGCTTGAATTCAAACATGTAACATTTTTATTCGTTTTTATGTTGTATTTTTTAATCATCACAATATTTTTGACACTAAATACAACACCATACATTCTTTTATCATTTTATCAGTAGGAAAAATAGTAAAATGTTGGTTATTGATATCTGATACATTGATAGAATGAGTTTAATTAAAAAAAAGTCTTGAAGATAACTTTCGTAGACATGTAGATGAAGAATAAAGTAAAGCATTTATTGAGTCGGGCCGGGAAGGTTACAATAGAAATGAAAGACGTGAAAGGAATAATGTATTTGCAGCTTGCTCATATATCCGTTTACGGGCTTAACGAAGACAATTGTTTTGTCTAAATGTTACACTGGGTGGCGGTGTATCAATCAAGACTTATGGTGGGAAATACCAACAATATTATGTCTTGATTAAACTTTTCAAAGTTTTTTAATTACATTGCAAATTTGAAAAGTAAATTTTGCTAAAAGCTTTATACGAAATCTGTACCATTTATAAACAGAGTTTCTTTTA